GAACCACTGAAGTCATTTGGAAATTTTTGGTATCTTTTCTGGACTGTAAATGTCTCTCTAATACTTTAAATAAAAGATCTAGACCCAAGATAGCTTTTGTGTTCCAAAGATGAACAAAGGCCTCAAGGGATTGGAAGGAAATAAGGGTAAGTAATCAATGACAGAATTAAAAGTTGGGGCGAACTCATTCTTTAAGCATTACCATCGGGACACATCTGGAATGTATCCGACACCATTATACCGCTATTACAGTATATAATATTCATTCATACATTTTCTTGTCGGCTTAGTCCCTTTATTAATCTGGGGTCGCCACAGTGGAATGAACTGCCAACTTATCCAGCAAGTTTTTACACAACGGATGCCCTTCCAGCCGCAACTCATCTCTGGGAAACATTCACACACACATTCACACACGCACTCATACACTATGGACAATTTAGCCTACCCAGTTCACCTGTACCGCATGTCTTTGGACTGTGGGGGAAACCGGAGCACCCGGAGGAAACCCACGTGAAGACAGGGAGAACATGCAAACTCCACACAGAAACGCCAACTAAGCCAAGGTTCGAGCCAGCAACCTTCTTGCTGTGAGGCGACAGCACTACCTCGCCAGTATATATTATTTCGTCTTAATATTTTTAAAAAAATGTTTACATAGCTCTAAAAGCATTCAAACAATAAGGAAACGTACGTGGACGTTAAAGAACCCCAAAAGACTCTGAGATTTCTGACAACACCTTTGACTCTAAATGGGAAGCAGTCGGGAATTTCACTTTTTGTGGTCCCTCCGACACATTTCTTTTGTGATCTACGCTATTTGTAGCCAATTTCTGTATTTGTATACTGTATGTTGTGAAAATATGCAGGCTTGTGTTTGTTAGTTGTTTTTCTATTTGCATGTGTCTTCTTAACTTTTAGCGCATTTGAGCTCTTTTGGTCAACAATATAAAACAGACTTAAAGTGGATAAACAGGCATTTGAGGAATATGGAAATGCAGATGTGCTGAAGCAGGCTGGAAATAAACTTTGCAAGACAGTGGGTCACCAGGTCAGATTTGAAGACCTCTTATACTAGATCTTTATAATCAATTAAAAAATGCAAGGTCTAACTAGAGTCTGTGAACATACTTTAGAAAATTTAAGGTATCGTAGATCCTAACACATTGGTTGGTATCCACATGATTTCCAAAATACCAGTGTGGCGACGACAGCAAAACTCTCAAAATGTTTTCTATTTTTCCAATGGTTTATCAGGGCGATATCTAAGGCTTGAGGGTGACTTTCTAGTCCCTATCTCGTTCTTTTAAAAACTCCTATCTTTCAAAAAGGAACACTGATGGATAAATGTAGCATTTTTTTTTTATTCATCTTCAGTCAGGCTTCATCCTTCACTGTTCATCTGTTAGTGCTGAGATCAGCTCACGCTGGCTTAGAATCGACCTCTGCTGAGTTTCAGACACAACCGCAATCCTGCGGCCTATGAGGCGAGACGCTTGTCATTTCTCTCCTCCCCTCCCTCATCATACGCTACATGGATATGAGTTATTTCTGCCACAATGGAGTCTGACAGCTGTGTTTTCGTCTTCTTCTCATTATCCTGATCTTTTGTCCCCTCTTTGTACTCCAAATTAATCAAAGTAGCAATCAAGCATTGCCAATTTTTTTAAAGTTCCCTCACTTCTGCAGATATTAATACCTTGTTCAAGTGGATTCAATTATTCAATTTTCTTCTAGAGACAGAGACCGTTACAGCATTAACGCACCTTTTGTTTCACTGTCACAGAGCCGTTTCGGAAGATATTGTCATTTTTTTTAAGCTAAATACACAGCCAGACGGTTTTGTTGAATTATATTTTAACAAGGGAGTTCAGTCATGTTACAGTTTCAATTAGCGTTTTTACATGAAGGTATTTAGCATACGCTTTGCATTGAATCGCATGTGTATTATTGTCTTTCGCAAATGTAATTGCAGCGCAGTTTCGTCTCTGAAGTTGTTCCTTTGTCATTAAGGCTCCATTTAGTGATTCTTTTTTTTATGAGTAATGCATCATAAGCATGTAGATTGTTTACCTGCTCACAAGAGAGCGATCGCATAATAATTACGGTTCATCTCGTATGCAATTAAAACAGGATGTCGCATGTACACAACAAGAACTTGTTGATCATTTTAAGAGTTGCTAATGGTTGATATATTGCCTGAGTGGAGATGAAACCACAGCAAAATGTGTAAACATTTGATGAACACTATGCAGCCATAGCCGTTTTCTATTATGTGCTACAGCAGGGGGGAAATGAATTAGCATTAATTTACATTACTTAAACGTTGTTTAGTTTTTAAATTAAATTACCTTCTTCAGATGCAAACACACAAATTTGAAGCATTTCATAAAGCGCTCTTAAAAAGCTCCTCCTTTTACTGTAGATTTATTTTATGGACACTTTTGAACTAATTACATTTTATACTATTTAAAACATGCAGACTTGCTCTGACTGGAACATTTGAACCACTAAATCTTAAAAAAAAATAAAAAAAAATTTATTTGCAAATCTTAAGGGGTATAATAATATTGACTTTAGACCAGTGGTTCTGTGCTTGCTTAGACTTTAAGTTTAATTTTTTTCAAGAAAAATTGGAACTGCAAAAGAAGAAAAGTTGCACCATCAGTTTCTTGGGTACACTGCAGCATCCTCCAAGACCCTTATTATTTTTATTTTAATCACATATACAGAAAATATCTGTATTTTAGTTATTGTAGCTAAAAATGTGGATTTTAACCAGAGAAAGGGGTGCTTGATGGATGTCAAATATTAGAAAGGGGTGCACGCAGCAAAATGTTTGTGAACCACTGCAATAAAATGATCATTAATTATGGTTATTAATGTGTGACTGTAAAACCCTCTACATTTATGAAAGGTAATGGAGTAAAATGTAAAATATCTTGAAGTAACAAGTTACTAAAGTAAACACGTACAGTACTGAAGTAAAAAATAATTAATTACTGTCTACCAGGGTAGACATCTTCACATCTATTTTGATGGCCATAAAGAGGGAATTGAGCATGAATTAGGGGGATCAAATCACCCCAAACCAGTAATTTGACCCCTTAATTAACACTTGATACCCTCTTTATTATCATCACAATATATGTGAAGATGTGTCAGCCTTAGCAGAAAACAGATTCTTACTAATCTCTACCTTAAATATTAATAAACTTCATAACTCTACCTTAAACTTTAATACACTTTTTAATTCATTTTCCTCCTTATTTATCAGGGGCTGCCACAGCAGAATGAACCGCCATAAGGTAATAACAATAAAATAGCAAATTATTATAAATTTGACCCTCCCCATAACAGCTCAAAGGGGTAACACATCACAATTCTCAGCAACAACATCAGGCAGTCTGCAGAGAAACTTTGCCTTGGCAACCAGTGGACATTTCAGCACAATGACGACAGAAAAAAGAAAAAGTGGTGCAGAAATGGTTAGCAGACAAAAAGAAAGAAGAAGAAAAAAAAAGAAAAAAAAAACATGAACATGTTACAGTGGCCCAGCCACAGTCCTGACTTCAATATGATTGAGAATCTGTAGAGGGAGCTAAAGATCATGGTGATTGCAAGGAGAGTTGGAAATCATTGCTACAGATGAATGGGTGTGGAGACATGTAAAAAGATGGTAAGCAATTATTGCAAGTGTTTGATTGCTGCAACAGGCAATACGACTTTTCTATTGATTATTAAGAAGGGTATGAATCAGTTTTGTACATGTCACTTTTTGTCCAAATGTAAATAAAAGCTGAGAAAGATCCCTTTTCCACAATAATGCCTCTAGCACATTATCCTATTATCTTTTGGTAGAAGCCTGTGTCATTTCTGTTCCCCCAATCAGAATATGAATAATTTTGCTCTTGGTTGTATATACTGGATATACAGTTGAAGTCAGAATTATTTGCCCCCTTTGGACTTGTTTTCCTTTTTTAAATATTTCCCAAAGGATGTTTAACAGAGCAAGGAAATTTCCACAGTATGTCTGATAATATTTTTTCTTTTGGATTAAATCTTATTTGTTTTAATTTGGCTAGAATAAAAGCAGTTTTTAATTTTTAAAAACCATTTTAGGGACAAAATTATTAGCCCCTTTAAGCTACTTTTTTTTTTCTCGATAGTCTACAGAACAAACCATCCTTATACAATAACTTGCCTAATTACCCTACCCTGCCTAGTTAACCAAACTAACCTAGTTAAGCCTTTAAATCTCAGTTTAAGTTGTATGTGTCTTGAAAAATATCTAGTCAAATATTATTTACTGTCATCATGGCAAAGATAAAAGAAATCAGTTAATGAAATTAATAAATCAGAAATGAGTTATTAAAACTATTATGTCTAGAAATAAGTTGAGAAAATTTACTTTTAGAAATTAAACAGAAATTGGGGAAAAAATAAACAGGGGGGCTATTAGTTCAAGGGGGCTAATAATTCTGACTTCAACTGTATATAATAGATTGTCTTTGAAAATCAAATGTCTGTTGTTACTGTAGGTCATAATCTGTTCATTTACCCTCAAAAACACTGAAATATTAAATACGTTGGATTAATCACTCTGCTGTCCACCAGTTGTATTTGCGAATATGGCGCATCATAACAGAGCCACCAAGAATGAGTTTGTTTCTTGGCTTCAGATTTAACTTCATCACAATCACAATCTTTCATCGCTTGTCCGCCGTCCTCATCCTTGAGTGCGCGTTCAGTCTGTCGCAAAATTGATTCATCCTTCGCGAGCTTTCAGCCCCTGCCATCTATTTCCTAATAGTCACTTGCGGTTATTGATTGATCGCCACGTCCTTAAATCCCTCCGAGCACAAAATGCATTACCGTTCGGTATTGTGCCGTATGTCGCAGTGTGTCGTTTGTGTGATTTGTGTAATTCGATAATGTATTCTCCCACCCGCTGTAAGTACCGTGAAAGTTTAATCAGAAGTCTTTTTTTTTTCCTGCAGATGTCTTCCTAACTACTGCGAGCATGATGGAGTGTGCTCTCAATCCTGGAGCACGTTTTTCTGCGACTGCTCGGGAACAGGATACACCGGAGCCACCTGTCATAACTGTGAGTTGGCATGTAACCCATACAAAAAAAACAACAATAACAATATACTGTTCACTTTTTTATCTAATTTTGTAGCTGTAGTTGTTGAGAAAATAACTAAAAGGTATCTTTTGAAATCTCTAAAGTTTTATTTATTTTCAAAACTTTTGTTTGTCTGGTTTTGAGATTTTTTTAGGTATATTTAAATGTAAATATTTAATTGTGTATTTATTTATTTGCTTTTTGTCTAAAATCTCTTTCATCATGTAGTTTGGTATTAATGAGTAAATGTCATGTTTATTAATTTATTTAACTAACTTTTGTTGTTTTATGAAACTATATATTTTTTCTAATTTATTTATTTATTTATTTATTTACTTATTTATTTACTTATTTATTTGTTTAACTTTCATGATTTGGATTGATGATGAGCCACCTACATAACTGTAAGTTGGCAAATAACATACAAAAATCAACAATATCGTTCAACTGTTTGCTTCGTTTTGTTGTTGTTGTTGAGAAATTAGCTCAAATGCTTTGAACTCTCTAAACATTGTTTGTTTATTTATTTTCAAAACTTTTGTTCCTTTGGTTTTTAGATTGATTAATGTATATTTGAATGTGTACATTTATTTGTGTATTTATTTGTTTGTTTACTTTTTGTCTTTAAGCTCTTTCATCGTACAGTTTGAGATTGCTGAGTAAATGTAGTTTATTAAAGTTAAATTTTTATTTATTTATTTATTTATTTATTTATTTATTTATTTATTTATTTATTTATTTATTTATTTAATTAATTATTTATTTATTTATTTTAAAGTTTATTAATTCATTTTACTAACTGTTTTGGTGTTTTATTAAATTTATTAAAGTTGCCTTAGTTTATTTAGTTGTTGTTGTTGAGAAATTGGCTACAAATGCTTTGAACTCTCTGAAGATTGTTTTTTATTTATTTTCAAATTAAGCTATCTGTCACCTTGAAATTATAAGGTTCCATCTGCTTTCTGAATGATTTTGATATATTGAGCTTCAAAGTTTTTGCATTCCATAGCAAAAAGTATGTGTGTAACATTTTTTTTAAATAAAAAGTCTACACCTTATATAAAAAATATCCCATAATATAAATAAGTTATCAATTAATAAGAATGTCAATAGCTCAATTTTGACAAAAAATGTCAGATAGAACCTTGTAGTTCTGAGGTGACGAATTGTATTTATTTATTTATTTATTTATTTATTTATTTATTTATTTATTTATTTATTTATTCATTTATTTATTTATTTATTTATTTATTTATTCATTTATTCAGTCAGTCAGTCAGTAAGTCATGATTATGCATTTATATAATGTTTTGAGGTCACAGTTTGTTTATTTTTTACTTCCGTTTTAAATGTGTATTTAAAGGTTAGTGTAATATTTGTTTAATTGTGTGTTTTTTTACAACAGAATTAAAAAGTATACAAAGTTTTGTATTCTATTTACATTTTTCAACCTTTTTTGTTTTGATTAAAGATAGATCATTTGTTTGTTTATTTACTTGTTCATTATTTGTAATTATATAATGCTTGGAATTTGTATGATTTTTTTTTTGTGTGTGTGTGATTGTTTTGGAAGTTTTAAATATTCATATATTATATTATATTATATTATATTATATTATATTATATTATATTATATTATATTATATTATATTATATTATATTATATTAAAATTAAAATACATTTTAACTATTTGTTTATACATTTATTAATTTACAAACTATCACTTATTTTGGAATAAATAATAATAATAATAATAATAATAATAATAATAAGTATTATTATTATTATTATTATTATTATTATTATTATTGTTATTATTATTATTATTATTATTATTATTATTATTATTATTATTAATAATGATTTGGCCAGGATGCCGGGGTTAAACCCCTACGCTTTTTCGAAGGGACATCCTAGGATTTTTAACGACCATAGAGAGTCTGGACCTCGGTTTAACGTCTCATCCGAAAGTCGGCGCTCACTGAGCAGTATAGAGTCCCCGTCACTATACTAGGGCATTAGGACCCACACAGACCATAGGTTAAGCGCCCCCTGCGGGCCTCACTAACACCACTTCCGGCAGCAACTTAGCTTTTCCATGTGGTCTCCCATCAAGGTACTGACCGGGCACAGCCCTGCTTGGCTTCAGTGGGCAACCATGTGAGAGTTGCAGAGAGCTAGCTGCTGGCTAATATTTGTATGTTTTAACAGAGTCACTTTAACAGAGTCACTCAGGTTTTGCCATTGTTTATGGTTTATTTATTTTTATGATATTTTCTGTTTTAGATGGAAAACAAACAAACGAGTCTTCTCCACAATGTAAAATAATCAGTTTTCTTTCTTTGATGGTGCTCTACATAAACTGACTTGACATTTTTCTTGCGTTTTTTTTCCCCCGCTCAGCCATCTTTGAACCGTCCTGCGAGGCTCACCGACTCACAGGAAGCGCCTCAGGCTTTTTCTCGATCGATCCTGATGGAAGCGGACCGCTCAAATCCACCGTCGTCTACTGCAACATCACTGGTGAGATCTCTGCGGAATAAAAACATGAATGTTAACATGAGGACTGCAGGTGTGGGATGAAAATAGAAATGCATACATAGGCTTTATGCACTTTTATTTTTTACCATCTCATATGCAATAAAAAGCAAAACAAATAACATACAGACATATAACGCTAGCTATTCTTGTTATTACATTAAAACTGTGTTATTATGAAATATTATTACAAATTAAAATGACTGTTATCTATTCTGACTAGTAATATATTTTGATGATTAATTTATTTAATATATTTATGATTTATCCTATAAAAAAAATCCTATAATGCAGACCATTTCTGACGCTGCATTTTTTATATGATTTTACTCCAAACAACAAAACATTCTTTAAAAATCTGATCAATTAAAAAGAAATGGTTTAAAATAAGAATATTTAGCTTTTCTAATTAGCAGATGATTTTTCTTGTTTAAAGGAAAAACTCACTTAATGAGGATTTATTTTTCTGAAAACAATTTAATGATTTTTTTTTTTGTTTTAATAATTTAATTTAATGATTTTAGAATAATAGGCAAGGCAAGTTTAATTATATAGCACGTTTCATGTGCCAATTCAAAGTGCTTTACATAAACAAGAATAAAAAAAGACAAGTATAAGAAAATAAAAACAAATAATCAAAATGATTAAAAACAGATTAAAATGTTTTAAAACATTATAAAAAAATGAAAAAGAAAAAGACATAATAGTGCTGTCTGTCGTACATTGCACAGTGCTCATTCAGTAAAGGCACAGCTAAACAGATGTGTTTTCAGTCTTGATTTGAATGTGCCAAATGTTGGAGCACATCTGAACATTTCTGGAAGCTGATTCCAGCAGCGAGGAGCGTAGTAGCGGAAAGCAGTTTCACCCTGCTTTGACTGAACTCCCTGTGGTTACTGTTTACTAACAAGGAGACAATGTTTTTGACTGTTTTTGGAGATGTTTAAACACAAATCTTTTTCAAAACATTGTTGTGTACACAAGAAACTTTTTTTTTTTTCCTAAACACAAGGAGATAACTTTTTCCACTTTTGGATCCATCATTGTTGTGTAAACATGTGTTTCAAAGAGAACGAAGGGGGAATGAAACGACATGAAAGTGAGTTAATGCTAACAGAAATTTTTTATTTTTGAGTGAACTAACCCCTTAGCATCATATGAAAACAAGGCTGATATGGCAAAACAAATGTGGCCTTCAGCTTCCGTGACCCAGTCAGAAAGCATTCTTGAAAGTATATATGTTTTTCTGGAGTTTTTGAAGGTACAGAACTGTCAAATCATTGAAGGCAGTTTTTGGCCATGGGAAATCTGTTTGAATCTACACGAAGATGGCATCATTAATCAAAGCAGGAACTGGTCCAGTGTTTGATGGATGTTTTGCAGTCTTCCAAGACTGTCTAGGTCACGCCGGGTGCAGATCGACAGCTCTGTCCGGGGGAATAAAAAAAAAGACGCGACTCGGACCATTATACACGCAGCTTGCTCTGTGAAATATTACTGATCTCCTGCAGAATTGTGATAAAGCGTAACTCTCTTACACACACACATCCGCTTGCTCTGGATCCACTAGAATAAAGTGCCATTGACTTCGGCCAACCTCAATTAGAAATGCCGCATGAAATGTAAATTACAGTACGCAGATTTAAGTGCCTGCTGGCTGGGTAAACACAAGCCTCCCGCTGAGGTGTTTGCCGGATAAATGAAAGCTGACGTCACAGGTGTAGCGGAGATTGGCCTTAACTCCGGGTCGGAAGCGACTTGCTGCGCTGCTTTATTTTCAAAGTTAATTGAAGTCGCGCTCTTTCTCGCTCAGGTTTGTGTCTGAGTTATTATGTGGATTACTTGTGATTAAAGGTATGAAGAGCTGTGGATTTACCTTTAGTAGATGCAGAGTAGAGTGGGGGAGAAATCTATTTTCACCAAGAAATTGTCAAGCTTTTCACAGATGCAAAAAGATTGTAGACAACACTTTGAGCTCCATTTTAAAGATCTAGGCGCAAAGTCTAAAGCGCATGGCACAAAAGCATTAAGAGCGTGTCTGAATATTTTAAGGATGGACAAATATCCTGCATACTTAATTTAGTTTAAGCACAAAGAATATTTCTAAATTCAGTACTAATTTCCAGTAAACGAATAAATGATCAATAATAATAAAGTCTGCTCACAAAACTTTTATCCAAACACACATACTTTTCTTATGCCCCATATGGTGATGCAGACGTCTCCAAAACCTGACAGATGGATAAATCTAAGCTTGTTTTATTCAAACAAATATAAATATGCATAAAATAATGAATACTGCTAATAATAATATTATACATTGTGTACTTTTGTACATCATATGTTTATTAAGCCAGTGGCTCCCAACCTTTTTTTGCCTGAGACCCCCTTTTCCCCCGGAAAATATTGTAAGGCCCCCCTCCACATTTAATGATATTATCTACTTTCTTCTGCCATTCATTCACATCTGCAGCAAACAGCAGAAGCCGTTACTAATGGACAGTCACTTTAGAGCTAGTGTTTGAATGACTCTCTATAGCGTAATGTCTATAGCGAAGACAAAACTCACTTTAAGATTATAAGGCTGAATGTGTCTTTAAAACAGACTGCTTTAGGTTAATTTACAAAAAAGCAGTTTGGAATTGAATTGATTTATATAAATTGCATTGATCATTCTGCCAACACTAAAACACTAAGATATTTGATAGACAAAAAAAAAAAAAAAAAAAAAAAAAAACAACCACTAAAGTTTGTATTATGAGTATTTTATATATATATATATATATATATATATATATATATATATATATTTTTATATTTTATATTGTTATTCGTACTATTAGTTTTATATATTATCTATTAATATCTGTTTTTTGTTTTATATTATTATTATTATTATTATTAATAATAATAATAATAATTATTATTATTATTATTATTATTATTATTATTATTATTATTATTATAATGTTGATGTGTCCCAAATTATTTATTATTTTTAATGATGGAATTATATAAATGACATATAATGATATAATGATATATATTTATTATTATTATTTTTATTATTTTTTTATTATTATTATTTTTATTATTATTATTATTAATAATAATAATAATAATAATAATAATAATAATAATAATAATAATAATAATAATAATAATAATGTTGACCTGTCTAACACGTTTTATTATTGTATTGTATATTGTGTATTTTTTAAAAATTATATGATTATTATTATTTTTTTATTAATATTTTTATTATTTTTTTATTAGTATTATTATTTGTTAGTCATCATGTTTTATTGAATAATTTTTATTAACAATCTTTTTTTAATATACATATTTAGTACTTTATATTTTTTATTTATTATTTTTGTTTTGTTTTATCTTTTTTGTATCTTGTTTTATCAACTTTTATCTTTCAGGCTTTAAGTATTTAAAATGCAACATAAAATGCATTATAAAAACCAAACAGCACAATTAGGAACTTATTAGGAATTAATTTATTAATTTTCCTCCAGCTTAGTCCATTTGTTCACCAGGTGTCACCACAGAATGAACCACCAACTTATCCAGCAAATGTTTGACAAGGCGGATGCCATTTCAACTGCAACCCATGACTGAGAAACACCCATACACTCTCATTTACACACATACACTACAGCCAATTTAATTTATTCAATTCACCTATACTGCATGTGTTTGGACTGTGGGGGAAACCAGAGCACCTGGAGGAAACCCATGGGAACACGGGAAGAACATGCATACTTGAGGCAATATTGCTAAATACTGAGCCACCATTTTTTTATTATTATTTATTTACTATAAATTACTAGAATTTTTTTTTTTTTAGAACTTTTTACCATTTAGGGACCATCTTTTTGTAGAAAAGTAAGTGGCTTTAAATTTATTTACCACTCATTACTATAGTATTTTTTTGTTTATGATCGTTTAGGAACTGTTTTAGAATAAGGGGTGCGATAGTATGGATATTTTCCATTTTTTTGTGTGTGTATATCTGTGTTTTGCAGATGATAAAGTTTGGACTGTGGTGAATCATAACAGCACTGCAATGGTTCGAGTTCAAGGTTCATCTCTTCAGCAGCCTCATGTCATGACGTTTAACTACAGCACATCTCTGGAACAGCTGCGGACACTCGTGGGCAGATCTGAACACTGCCAGCAGGAAGTTGTTTATCTCTGCAGGAAGTCCCGCCTCTTCAACACATGGGGTGAGTACTAAATGTGTTGTGTGTACTATTTTTAATTTAGAATGATAGTAGTGCATTGGTATAAAGCTTTATAGCTATATATTTGTTTTATGTGATTCATTTTTATATTGCTTTTTGCACTAACTCAAAAACTAAAAGTCTGATGATGATGATTAATTGTCATTTGTCACATATAAACCTTATAGTTAATTTATTTTTGTAATATTTTTACATTTATATTGCAGAACAATAATGTAGAAAAACACAATTACCTATTATTTTATTATGTTTAATTATTATTATTATTATTATTATTATTATTATTATTATTATTATTATTGTTGTTGTTGTTGTTGTTGTTGTTGTTGTTGTTGTTGTTGACATCTTAAAATCATGTATTATTTTAATCTTATATGTTGATAATATTGATAATATTTCTTGTTGTTGACATGTCTCAAATTTGTTTGTTATTTTTTTATTTAAATTATTATAATTAATAATGCTGACTTGTGTCAAGATTGTTTATCATTTTAAAATTATATTATTATTATTATTATTTACAATATTTAACTTATATTATTGTTATTTTTTATTATTATTGTTAATAATAACTATTATGTTGATGTGTCTTGCAGTTGTTTATTTTTCTTTTATATGATGATGATGATGATTGTTATTATTGTTTAATAATAATAATAACAATAATAATAATAATAATAATAATAATAATTATTATTATTATTATTATTATATAATGTCCCTCTTTGTTGTTTATTATTTTATTTATTAATATTTATATTTTTTATTTTAATTTATTAGTTTATTATTTTTCATTTATTTGATTATTATTAATGTTTACATATCTCAAACATTTTATTATTTTTATTGTACATTAACTTTCTTATTAATAATATTAATGTTGATGTGATTTTTTTAATTATATGATTATTTTTGTTATTTTATCAAACCATATATAATTATTATTATTATTATTATTATTATTATTATTATTATTATTATTATTATCAAAATCTTATTTAAAAAATATACATATTACTATTCATGTTTCGTAATGTTCCAGTTTCCACACCTCCACTCCTATTAGTCAGAATATTGAGTTTGATATTTCTTCTAACTGCTTTCTTTATCTCACATAATATGCAATATATTACTGCTCATTTCTTAATATCACACTATTTAATGACTTCCTCATGCGAGAGCTCAAAGTTTCAGAAACGCTTCATCTGTGTCCTTTCCGAAGCCCTTTTATTCCTGATGAAAATGTCTCAGATCAGCGCATGATTTAGTCCGAGTGGAGTTTGTTCATATCTATAATCTGACTTGACCCCAATCTAATTACAGTATTAATTGATGGGAAATGGCGACATTTATAAAGCAGCCAGTGCTTGAAATTGTTCATGGGTTTGGAGAGATCAGCGGTAATGAGATCTGAAGCTGTAGAGCGGAGACCGGCCTGATGTTTTCCTCAGGGATATTGAAGATAAAGGCTAAATGTGTGGAAAAATGTTTACTGGACTCATCTGGGGGGATTTGTGTTGACTGGACTGTCCTCAGATCTGTAAAAAGTAGAGGCAAGATGGGGTCAATTCTGTTTTACAGATGAAGTGTTTTACTGTGGTGGAGTAAAATAGGAATTTGTGCTTGAATTTAAAGATTTTTAATTGCGTTCTAGATTTTAATTATTATTATTATTATTATTATTATTATTATTATTATTATTATTATTTCATAATTCATTCATTCATTGTCAATTTTTTAATTTGTTTAATATAAAATAATAATAATAATAATAATAATAATAATAATAATAATAATAATAATAATAATAATAATAATATTTATTATTATTATTTTTGTTGTTGTTATTTATTTTTTTCTTATGTATTTATGTACAAACATAATAATAATAATAATAATAATAATAATAATAATAATAATAATAATAACTTATAATATTATTATAAAAGTAGGATTTTTTATTTTCTAATAAATAATAAATATAAAATTTCATTAATAGCCTCATTATTTATTTCTTTATTTAATTATTTTGTTATTTTTTATTCATGATTTATTTATGAGATTAGAATATGTGTTAGCTTTTGTAAGTTATTTTATGTTTTCGAATAGAATATGTAATGTTCTCAATAATATTTGTAAAGAAAACCAACTGTAGGTACTATGTGTGCTATTTTCCATAAATTTCAATTAATATGGAAAACGAGTGCATGTTTTAACCAAAACAAATATTGGATTTTTTTTAAAAATGCGCATTTAAAACAATATAATTTGCACAAGGAATGATGGGGTTCTTTTCTAAAGGAGTTGTTACTCCACCCCATTAGAGCATAATTTTGGGCATATTACGTTGTAACTAACAAGGTTCAAACGATGGATCTGCAACAGAGAAACTACTGGTTTTGAAAAACACTAGTCACTACATCATTATTTTTCCAAACGATGCATTGTTTAGTCCCGAGTTATGTCGTTGTTTGGGAAACGCACCCCAGAGCAAGAGGTAGCAGTAACGCACCAAAACGTTTGTTGTCGACCATCGTAAAACAAGAAGATGAAGTAATCATCATTTTGCCATCATATGGATCTACTTTTATCAGCCAGACTCCGGCTTCAAAGCCCTGTGTATGTTGGTGCCGTTACTTATTGATCCAAGATCGGTAAATGTAGCTTGTGTGGACGCTACTGCGCTACTTGACTAAAAAAAGCTTTGCTTTGCTGAAGAGCTATTTGATTTATAAAGAAGTGACGCTACCGCCACTCTAATGAAAAATGTAAGCTAGTAGCCCCTCTACTCATAGCAACGCTACTGCCCAATCCTAATAATAAGTATTTTACATAAGTATTTATTATTTAATAATTTAACTATAACAATGTTTTGATCTACTTCGGATGGATGGAACTAGATGGAACTCAATTAAATATTTTAACAACTTATTAATGACGTTTTTCTAGTTTACTAAATTTTTATTATTAGGATTTAAAAATATATATTATAATAAATAGCAGTTTTAATAAATGTATACTCATTTAGAAAATGTTAATGTTTTTTATATTTTGTTTATAATTGACGTGCTATGTATATAACAAATATTGTAATAAATAGTAATGTAATAAATAATAACATTTAATTAATAAATTAAATTTAAAAATAAAATATTTTCAGACATTAACTTATTGATTTGATATTTATACTCTGTTTATGATTTTAGTGATGATAATAATAATAATAATAATAATAATAATAATAATAATAATAATATTATTATTATTGTTATTATTATTATTATTATTATTCTTTTGTTGTTGTTGTTGTTGGCTCAGAAAGTTGTTTGGTTATTCCTAATTTACAAATAAACATTGAAAATATAAACAAAAACAAAACATTATTTCTTTTTTATTCCCCAATATATTATTTTCTAGTTTCCAAACTGCTAATCCATTAGCCATTTTTGTTAATAGCACATCACAATGTACTCCTGTAACACATAGTGATAAGTAAACAACCTTTTAATACACAATACTGATATATCACACTATGTATCACCCAGGACACACAAAAAGCTCACAGTCTGTCTGTTATTGAATGTGTGCATCTTTACACCCCTCAGGCGAGTGTTGGTATGAAGTGCTGCTGGATGTCACCGTCTCTGTCAGAATGAAAGAATGTTGTGTTGTTTGCTCCAGATGGGACGCCCTTGTCCTGGTGGCTTGACCGGGCAGGAGAGAGAAGGACGTACTGGGGCGGTTTCCTCCCCGGAGTCCAGCAGTGCGCTTGCAGTCTGGATGAAAACTGCATCGACATGAATCACTTCTGCAACTGCGACGCCGATCGCAGCTCATGGTAAACGTCGATCCCCACACGTCAGCTATATTTCATACCAATAATGAATGATGGCAGAAGGAAGTTTAGCACACATTTCAATGACTATTCTTCCTATTTACCCACTTAAATGCATGTAGCCCACTGCTCACTAGTGATGAGCCCGGGTGTGAGGGCTCTTTCAACGATTTCTGCAGCTTTAATAGATTTTGTGTGTAATCTGCCGAATCTTTTCTGTTTGCACTATCAATATCTGTAGATATTGAAAGCGGAGATGTAAACACTGCTATTGTTTGCTTGTGAACAGGGAGAATGACACAGGAATTTTGTCCTACAAAGAGCATCTACCAGTCACTGAGATCTTGGTTGGAGACACAAACCGAAGCGGCTCAGAAGCCATTTACAGGATCGGCTCTCTGCACTGCTTTGGGGACAGTAAGTAAGGCGTATTTTTTACAAACAAAATCAATTAGATCAAACTCTGTTTTCTAATTTGAAATGTTGAAGTGCTTTTTTTGCAATACAATGTTTTATTCTCATGTACAGTTGAAGTCAGAATTATTAGTTGATAATTAAAAATATAGAAATATTAGGCCCCTGTACATGTCAACACATTTCTATACATAATAGTTTGTTCTAAAAAAAAATATTGCTTAGAAAGCCTAATAATATTGTCCTA